GCCCGGTAGACACCCCCCCTCACTGCGCGCCTCCGCGGCCGCTTCTTCGCTGAGTTGCTCCTCCGCTCCCACTTCCCCTTTCTCCCACCTTTCCCGGCACCGCGGGAAAAGCAGTGCAGGGCGCAGCAGGCAAGGGAAGGCAGCCGGAGCCGGGGCACGGAAGCCTCCCAGTCAATTCAAGACCCGACATGAGGGAAAAGGGCCGTAGGAAGAAGGGCAGGACCTGGGCGGAGGCCGCCAAGACGGTAAGAGGAGGGAGCAGAGGGGAAGGCCGGCGGGAGTTGGTTTTTCTCGCCGGCTGCTCGTCGCAGGGGAAGGGAGGTCACTCGGCCCCGCGACCGGGCTGAAGGGGCACGAAAGCGCGCGCAGAGGGCGGCGGTTAGGGTCGCGTCGGCGAGCCCTAAGGAGACCGAGGCGCCGGCGCGAGGGGTTGGCCGCGCGGCTGCCGCTGCTCCCGGGGGCTGCGACTGGACCCCTCGGTGTTCCGAGGTTGTCTGTCGGGGGGTCCCGTCGCTGTCGCCCCCACACTGCTAGCCCTTGTTTCGGCACCGTGTGTTGTGCTTGCCCAGTAACCGGTTCTTCTCCCTTGTGCGCCTTGGAGAGCCCCGATTGGATGCAGACAGGAGGAGGCTTGTGCGTGCATCCAGCCCCGGAAAGGAGAGGGGAGCGCTGGAGCTCGGTGGCGTTACCCCCGCCGAGGCAGCCGTGCCCCCCAGACCCGGGACCCCCTGCTTATCCGGCTCTGGGAGCCAACTGGAGGTCACGAGGCTTTTGTGTTTGCCGTACGAGCTGAAAGTGCTGGAGGTGTTTAGAAACGAAGTAACAGGTGGGACTTGGAGAATTTTTTTTCTGTTTCCGTAGAGACCTACTCTGAATAAGGCAGCAATGCATGGTGGGACGTGTAGTTTACCCGGCCTTCACTTTTCTTTAGCCAAAGCGAAGGTGGACGGACGAAATTGTGATTCGTGGGCACCCCACCCCACGCGCAGTTTTGTTATAAAGAATTTAGAAGTCATTTAAGATTGAGTATTAGTGGGAAGTCTTGTTTTGAAAAAAAAAGTTTAAAACGTATTTACGAAGAAACGGAAGTTTAAGGAGAAATTAAAATTTCAACATTGAAATTCTAACAGAAAAATGACAGGACATTAACATTAGTAGCACCTCCCACCTCTTTTGTAAATGGACAACATAGTGGGTCCTAATAACTGAACCCTTATAGGCTATAAGGTGTATTTTTCTCCTCAAAAAGTGTGTGTGTGTGTGTGTGTGTGTGTGTGTGTGTGTGTGTGTGTGTGTGTGTGTGTGTGTGCGCATGCATGCATGCATATATGTATGTATTGGGGGTGGGGCATGTGCGGATGGCCATGGAGCACCTATAGGGGATCAAACTCAGGTCATCAGGCTTGGTGGCCAGCACTTTTATTTACTGATTAATCTTGCTGGTCCTGGTTTATTTATTAATTTATTTGCTGGTTTCCTGAGACAGAGTTTCTCTGTGTAGTCCTGGCAGTCCTTGAACTCACTGTAGAACACTGTAGATTACTGTTACCTCTAAAAGACAGACCAGGCTGTCCTCTAACTCGTAGTTCCCCCTGATTCTTCCCCTCAGGTGCTGGGATTAAAGGCATGCACCACCATTGCCCTGCTCCTGGTTTTTGTTTTTTTGTGAGACCTTCCGAATTCAAAAGTAATGTTCATCATGGAGAAATTTAGAAAAGTATGAAGAAGAAAATAAGAACTCTGTTCACTCTTTTACTGCCTAGTCTTACTTGTTTCCCCAAATCTGAGTCATTATTTATTCAGTCTGTATTTCGTTTTGTAAACTATGTGCATTTGTTTTGTTGAATGTTTTCCTTATATACATTTATTTACTTATTTTTGGGAATACAGTCTCACATATTCTGAAATGCAGCCTGAAATGCAGCAATCCTCTTCCCTTTGTCCCTTAAATGCTGGGATTATAGGCTTGCACCACCATGCCCACTTCTATGGGATGCTGAGGATAGAACCCAGGGCATCACGCTTACTAGGCAAATGCTCTTCCAGTTGAGCTACACCCGGCCAACTTAGAATCTGTCTTTGTGACGGTACTGGTAGGTTCCTCTAATAAGAGACAACTGTAGAAATAATTTTTTGGTGGGGAAGAGTTTTTCTTCCACAGAAGTTCTACTTTCTACTTCAGGGACACCTCAAGACTGCTTCCTGTTAATAAAAGAGAAGGTGCTTTTTTAGTTATGAGTATGCAAATCTCAAAATTAATTGTGTGAATTAATTTTACTTATTTATTAGGCTTTAGTTTTTTTGAGATCAGGTTTCACTTTGTAGCCTAGGCAGCAGGCCTTAGCACTGGAAGTGGTAAGATTACAGGCATCTCAGCAGTCTCTGTATCTTTTTTTTTTTGAGATGGACTCTTTCTGTATTCCAGCCTATTTAGCCCATTGTATAATCCAGGCCTTAAACTTGAGGTGATCTCTTGCCTCAACCTCTTCAGGACTGGGATTATAGACTCATACAGCCATGTCTGTTTAAATCTCTACCTTGTGCATTATGATCTTTCTGAGTTAAATAGTTTAATGATTAGGAGGTTGTGACAACTAGGAAGAATAATTTTGCATCTCTTTAATTTCTCGAAATAATAAACTAGAACATTTGCTTATTTTGTGCCCCAGAGACCTATGTGAGAAGTAGTGTTTAAAAGACAGAGAGTAGGCTGAGGAGATGGCTCAGTGTGCTAGAGCACTTGTACACAAAGGCACCTTTACATATCTCATTAAAAAATTCATTTATTTACTTTTCTGCTTCTTTTTTGGGGGGGGGATGTTTATGTATGTGTGTCTAGATGTGTATGTGGAGGCCAGAGGATGATATCAGGTGCTTTTCTTAGTTTCTCTCCATTTTATTTACTGAGGCAAGCACTAGTATTTTAATATGGAGCCACCATGCACACCTGAACTTTAAGAATTTAAAGAATTTATAAGAATTTATGTGCATGTGTATTTTGTCTGCATATCTGCACCACATGCATATCTGGGCTTAGTAGGGGGTGTCTGGCCCCTGGAACTGCAGTTACAGATGGTTGGTTGTAAGATGCCATGTGGGTGGTGGGAATGGAACCCTGGTCTGCTGGAAGAGTGCCTTTATCCACTGAATTATCTTTGTAGCCCCCATACCCTGATTTATTTTCGGGGTGTTCTAAAATCTGAACTCTGGGCCTTGTTTTTGACCATTGAACCATTTCCCCACTCCTCTGTCCTGTTTGTATATTTCTGTCCTGAAAGCCCACATACCTTCTACCTTGTTGAAGGTAAAAAAGAAAATAAAAATCTATTTTGGATATTTAAGTTAAAAATTTCTAGAGGACCATGTTGGGGCAGGGTTGTTATCCAGCATCATGGGGTGAGAAGCAGACATAACTTGATATCTTGTTAACAAGGCCAGCTTGAGTAGGTAGCCAGGCCTATTCCCACCCCCCCCAAGATAGTTAAAAAAAAAAAAAGCGCCTTTTCTACAAAAGGAGCTACTGCTGTATTTCCTAGATTATGAAGAGTTGAGAAAATCTCAGATTTTCAGAGCTGCCTATTGCCTTTTCTTTTGCTTTTTTTTTTTTTTTTTTTTTTAAATATAAATCCGTGTGCATTGGTGTTTTGCCTGCATGAGGATGTCAGATCCCCTGGAACTGGAGTTACAGATAGCTGTGAGCTGCCATGTGGGTGCTGGAAATTGAACTTGGGTCCTCTGGAGGACCAACTTGTGCTCTTAACCACTGCACCATCTCTCTATCCTCCCTTGGTTTGTTTTTTTGAGACAGGGTTTCTCTGTATATCCTGGCTATCCTGGAACTTACTTTGTAGACTAGGTTGGCATTGAACTCACAGAGATCCTCTTGCTTCTGTCTCCCAAGTGCTGTGTTTAAAGACGTGGGCCACCACTGCCCAGCTGCCAACTACTTTTTCTTCTACAGATTTTATCTGCTTTTAAGGCAATTTTGTTATGAGTAAAATGACATTCTGTTTTTGTTTTAATACATGATTTCATGTAGCCCAGGTGTCTTTGATCCTCCTGTCTCCACTTTCTAAGTTCTGAAATTAACAGGTGTGCAATCCCTGCACCTGGATTTTGTTAATGTAAATATTGTTTAGAGCTAGGCTTTTTGTAGCACATATCTAAAATTCTGTATTTGGAAGCTCAAGTAGAGGGTCACAAAGTTTGAGGCCAACCTGGATTACATAGTGAGACCGTCTATTACTAAAGAAAATAAAAAGAATCTATGTGGTAGGAGGTGGAAATGTGACTATAGAAATTGATCAGTGCAGATGGCTCAGTGGTTATGAGCACTAACTGCTGCTCTTGCAGAGGACCTGGTTTCAATTCCCAGTACCCACATGGCAGCTCACAACTATCTTTTTTTTTTTTTTTTTTTTTTGAGATGGTTTCTCTGTGTAGCTGTGGAACCTGTCCTGGCACTCGCTCTGTAGATCAGACTGGTCTCTAACTCTCAGAGATCCGCCTGCCTCTGTTTACCAAGTGCTAGGATTAAAGGTGGGTGCCACCATTGCCTTTAATCATGGTGGGGTTCCCCGCCCACCATGACTGTCTGTAACTTCAGTTTTAGGGGATCTGACACTCACAGCAAAAACAACAATGTACATAAAAAATAAAAATAAATTAAAAATTAAAAAGAAATTGATCAGTGCATAGCCGGGTGGTGATGGAGCACACCTTTAATCCCAGCACTTAGGAGGAGGCAGAGACAGGTAGATAGATACCTGTGAGTTAGACTCCAGCCTGGTCTACAGAGGGAGTTCCAGGATAGCCAAGGCTACACAGAGAAACCTTGTCTCGGGACAGACACACACACACACACACACACACACACACACACACACTCTGCTCATTACAAAAGCCAACCTTTGTTATTTTACAAAAGAATTTTGACTACCCCTCTACTTCCATATTCTTTCCACTTGGAGTTCATGATTCTAAAGTTTCTGATATTGTATATTTTCTTCTTTTTGGTGCAGTGTGATTCATTATGTTTTTAGTTTTGTCCTAGGTTATTGAATGTGGTAAACTTAAAAACTTTTCAGTATGACTTAAATAGTGTCACAACCTTTAAATCAAATATAGAAGTCCCCATGGTGCCTCATGTCTATAATCCAAACTCACAGCAGGATCAGAAATTCAAGGCCAGCTTCAGCTACCGTCTGGGTACATGAAGCTCCCTAATAAATAAAACAAAAAAACA